ACTATTATCATTAATAACCTGATTCCAGGTCCGTCCCCATACCCCGTCCGGTATGGGCGCCAAAACCATAAACCTCAATACCCCATCCGGTATGAGGGTGAAACGGGCCGTCCCCATACCCCGTCTGGTATGGGCGCCAAAACACATAAGGTCTCCATACCCCGTCCGGTATGAGAGACCACGTTCCCGGTAGGATTCCCTACGGACCCGATCCGTCCATCATCTCTCAGGATATCTAGTCAGGCTGTCCACATTATCCATTTATCAATTCACATAACCTTTTTGCCTTTTTTCTTGATCTCAATCATCAAATAATACACAATATGTAAATCAGTAATTGACACCAAACAAGACAACACAGTATCGGGTTCACCATAATACAAACCATAATAAAAGAAATCATGATTCATGCATACGAGATCATAAAATAATTACATCAAACATCATATTGTATTTAATACTGAAAATTCGATCAAACAACAACTGACCAACAATGTATCAGACTCGGGCTCAATTGGCAACCTTAATCAATTATACATCTATAAAGTCACAAAATACCGTTTAATTATTTATTAAGCTTTAATACCGTGATAGGAAATAAGGTGAGGGGTCCTTACTTGTTTCGGGGTCTGAAATCGACTCTACAGTGCGCCTACGGGCTGTCCATAATTTTCCTGAATTTTTCTCTAGAAAACCAAAATGCACTACCGGTATCTGTACATATCCCAAAAAATTCTAAATCAGACCTAGGGCCCCTTTCGGCCAATATCGGAATTCCGGCACAGCGGCTCCGCCGTGCTCCGGCGACGGTGCCGCCACCTGCGGCGGTGATCCGCCTCGGGTTGGCCGTTTTCAGTCGAATTCGGCCAAACTTGCATTGGTCCCTACGATAAAACAACCCTAGAGCCCTCGATGGGTCAAAAAATTACGAAAAACCGAAACTTACCGGTGGCGGTGCTCTCGGGTGCGGCACCTCCTCCGGCATGAGTCACGTTTTGATGTTTGGCTCCGATCAACCTGTAGAGAAAAGAACGGTGATCACAGTGGTATAAAATTTGCATCGAACTGATATCGGGAAGGGCCTCATCATAGGCAAAAACAGAGGGGAGTCGCAGCGTTGCCGTCGGACTTCAGCGGGATTTTTTGGTCGATTGGCTGGTGGTTTGGCTCTGGTTTGGCCATAGGCAGATTCAGCATCGAAAAACGAGCTAAGGGGAGAAAATTTACCTCGATTGGCGGTCAAAAAATTCTCCGGTGCGGCGGCGGCCGGCTCCTCCGACGTTTGGTTCTTCTTCTCCGGCGAGGCACTGGCGGATAGGGTTTTGTGGTCAGGTGTGGGTGGGGTTATTTATACCATTTGTCTTTTAATCTCAACTGTCCATCAAGATTAAATATAGACTGTCCGATCGCGATTTAATTGGAATTAAATATAGACCGTCCGTGCCTGATTGAATCTGAACCGTCCGTACGCGTGAAATCTGGGCCGTCCGTGCGCGTGGAAACGGATCTGGGCCGTCCGATCTCACGCACGCGAATCGCCCACGTGGCCCGTCCCGTGTCAGCGTTTCCTTGCCACGCGGTGTGTCCTGGTTGACCGAGACTGCTGACCGAGCTGCTGATGTGGCTGCTAACGTGGCACAACTTTTTTAACTTGCGTTTTGACCTCTGGTTTTCGATTTTCTTTTCAAAAATACCCCCAAAATCTAAATTTTCACCATTTTTTCCCTAAAATCAATTTCAATTAAATCCAAATAATATTTTTACCCAATTTTATCATTATTATTATTTTTATTTTTATTAAATTAAATTAAATTAAATTAAAATCTAAAAAATTCAAATACAAAAAATAAAAAAATAAAAAAAAATATTTTGGGTGTTACATTTGAAGTATAGTTTTATATTTAGACTGTTTAGTGCATGGTTTGTGTGATATATTTTTAAAGTTTTAAATAGTCAAACATAAAATAAATACTAACTGCTTTAAGAAAATAATTATGTGTATTTTTCCAAAAAAAATTGTTTATAAGCAGATATATAAAATACTATAATGAAATTATTTTGTGATTTATGAAACCTTCTGGCTGATTGTTGTTAGTCTATTAAGAAGAAAACTAGTACTATAGCTAGCGACATCCACTCATATTTCTATTTGCTTTTGGCGGATTAGTGTATAAGCAATTTCATATGCTTTTACCTCTTCAGTTTCTTATTATGCTTTTTGTATATCCGAATAAGTGCTCTTAAAGCCAATTGTAATACCAAGAAAATTCCGATTCCGTATCTTACTAGGCTTTAAATTTTATCTCTTGATACACAATTTTTACGTAATTTGATCAACGAAACACTTAACACTTACGTATAATTATTAAAGGCTCTTTTCAAGCGTTTAATTGATGATTTTTGATATACAATTTGATTAGAAATAACAAAATCTTAATCAATCAATTCTTAGATTTCACCCAAATTTTTTTGAGATCAAATTTATGCGTAGTAATCACTTAAAAATTTTAGATTTTTATAAAAGCTAAAATAATAATTCGGCTCATATATTGTTTATTTTTATTTAAATTATCTCTACCTTAATTTTCGATCAAAATAGTCCTTCTACTTTTGAAAAATTTTAATTTAATCATCCCATATCAATATTAGTTAACATGTTAATTTAGGTATCACATGTTAAATTTATTAATGTCTGATTCAACAACTCTAATTTTACTGGGTCAAATATTGTCATCTAATAAACTCCACCACTAGTTTGAATGTTAGTTGAATGCCACATAGATACTATGTGACATATGATGTGATACTAAAAAAACTTAAATATAAATCAATCTATAAATTAAATTTTAGACTGACCTGAACGGGTCTAAGATTAAAAAAAAACAAATTCAAATCCTTAATTCCTTAAATCACAGTAATAATAACAATAATAATAGCACATTTTTTCATCTCTAATAACAATAACAACAATAGTAATAACAACAGAAACAAATAAACAACCTAGTGAGTCTTCTCCAATACTCTCAATATTGTTATCATCTATCCACCTTTAAAGATGTAGTTAGAGTTCATCTTTCTCCCTCATTAAGCTCATGAGGCCCTCTGCAAGCCTTCTATGGGCTCAACGTTATTTCATTCTTCAAGAATTATGATCATATCATCGATAATTCAAGGAGCAATGCTGATTTTGCTGTCTTTATTCCCTGTTTCTCTCTATAGATCGCCACTTTCTTAAATCATATACAATACTCAAAATTTTCTTTCGCAGTCGATCTTTGCACAATCTTTTTATTTCAGTACTTTTGTGAATCTCAATAAAATAAGCTACAATTCATTACTAATGAGAAATGCTTAAATCGATCTTTTTAGTTTTGTTTCTAGATTGGACTTTGAGCTCCATCCATACCGAACACCAGTAGCGGATGCATTAACTCTGGGTTCTTCTAATATTAATGGCAGAGTTTATTGGATGACAACATCCTCCGACATTACTAGCATGATTAATATGAAATCAACATAGAAATGGTAAACATGGGCAACAATATTAGTCTATTGGAGGAAATGGCAATATTGTTTGCAACAGTACTAATATATTGGGTTGGCCTTCTCTCTCACACCACCTCTGTAACCATATCCTCATTTTCTCATCGAATGTCGCTCTTTATTCCTTTAAACTATTTTTACTTTGGTAGATTGAAGATTTAAGGAATTAGTTATTTAAATATTTTTTCAATCCTAAACAATTCAGACGAATCTAAAATTTTATTTATGTACTAGTTTAAACCGATTACATATAACTTTTTAGTGTCATATCATATGTCATGTGACATTTGACATGATATTCAATATTTATACTAATAAAAATTTTTTAAGATATTTTATATTTATTATAAGGGATATTTTATGTATATTATAGATAATTTTTAGGGAAAAAAACTCTTATAGTTTCTCTATATAAGAGCATACAATTTATTGGTGGTGTATTCTCATTTAATGTAGTGGAAATTTTTTTTCTTAGTTTTGCTTGTAGATGTAGACACACTTTGTGAACCATGTTAAATATTTTATCTTTTGTTATTTTTGTTCTATTTTATTATGATTGTATGCATTTGAGGATTAGTTTCTCCAACACATTTACTTACCAAGCTCTAGCTCTGCATATGATTGACTAATTGATGCTTTAGCTGAAAAATTCTTTGGCAATTATTTTGTTGAAACTTGTCCCTTAGATTTCACTAAATCTTCATCTGTCAAGTCGGAGAAAATAACACTGTCCGAGATATCATTCAACACTGAGGTCAGAATTCAAGAGATTATAATATTATTATTTTTCATTCAAACATTTAGCAAATCCGTGTCTGACTAATCAAATCTTAAAATGAGCCATCCATAAATCAAATTTATTGTTCGTTAACAATGCTATTATCATTGCCCTTCTCCATGAGACATAATTATCGCATATCAGCTATTATTGTGAAACAAGAACAAGGCCAGGACTGCTGGAATGAATGGTGAAAGAAGCAAGGACTCATCGGATCCTTGATGGCTAATTTGTTGGTTTGTGTACAGGAAGAAGAGTTATGGTTTTTCATTGGCTCAATAAAAGAGGTTAGACAAAAGAAAGTTCAAAAGATTAAACCCATCTGATACGAAAGAGGAAGGAAACGTTATGAAGGATTGCATTAAACGCGTATGTATTGACTTACTGACTCTACTAAAACTAAGTTAATTAAACCAAATCTAATTTAGATATTTCTATATATATATATATATATATATATAATATCGAAAATAATTATGTGTCCATGAAATTTATGCAGATCATAAGTTGATTATATAGTATGCAGATCATATAGTTCTGTGATTTTCAGTGAAGGTGATCTACAGGATTTCAGTTGTTTGACTCTAATCCTTTGATTCGTTACTTTTGTTTTTTATTCTCTGTCATCAGATATTTTATGGAAATTGTAATTTAAAAGATTAAAGGGAGAGAGAGAGAGAGAGAAAGAAAAAGAAGGGCAGTTCTTCCATTAATAGCTGTACGGTTGACAAAAGTCGTTGAAAATGGGAAACATACGTCTACTGCCCATTTCATCTTTAGAATCAAATCAACATCTTACATTTTACAACTTCTTCACCAAACTTAATTTCCATCACAAATATATAATCCTAAACATATATATATATATATGTATGTATGTATGTACGTAAATGCCTTAATAATTGTAATTTAATAATTCTCATCAAGATCTTAATTATAACAAATTCAAAGTAAATATGATGGTATCATATAAACCTAATATCAGTGAGATTGTCCCATCCTGAGAGCTACATAAGCCAACACTCTATAACCCACCAACATTATGGTCAATGCAGCCACATCCCACCACTTATTATCGATACCCAGATACTTAATTGCCGGATAATCCATCACCTTGCAGTGCATCCCAATCCCACAATCATACACCTCATGAGCAGAGTATTGCACCCCTACCAGAAGCTTATAACAGTAGTGACTGAATGAAATATACTTGAACCATGCAATGAAAACTGGGATCTGCTGGATGTAATACCCACCTGCTAATAAAAACAAAAGCATTATAACAGAGGCTAAAGTTGTAGCCTGTTTTAGATCCGGCACAACCGCCCCTAAAGCCAGGCCCAGTCCCTGGGAGACCAGCACGTTGTAGAGGATGACGAAAAGGGTTAGGACGTATGTGAGCAGGGAATGTTTCAGACCTCCCATCCAGTAAGTTATGGTGACGAAGATGGTCGGAAGAACAAGTTCCATCGGCAAGTCTCCGGCGAGTCGAGCGAAGTAGTAGGAAGATAGACGGTACATGCCGGAGGCACGCTCTTTTATAAGCATTGGTCGTTCTTGGGGGAAGGCAAAGACAGCGTTGAACAGAGGGAAGAAGCCCCAGAAGATGGAGAAGAAAAACAGGAGGCCTACCTGTTGAATTTACGTACCTTAAATCATCAATAATTACAGAGATATATGTACATATAGTTGAATATGACTATGTAATTTATATATACCTGATCTTGTATATGTGAAATATCAGTATGCCACCAAAGAAGGCCTGATAAGATGGCAACAGAGAGCACCTGGAAAATCCTTAGGCCTGAATATGATTCATGTTTCCTCTCTCGTAAACCCCTTTGCAGTAAAACCTTGAATTGCTGCCACCAGCTTGTTGTCCATTGATTCTCGTAACATCCTGCATGAATATCATAAAAAATGAAGATGATCATCCCTGTAAATTATTCTATGAATCTACTAAAGTTGAACTGATGAAGAGGGAATATGGTTTTGCATACTTGTTTGAAATGAATTGGCTCCTGTAGTGGAAACAGGTGATGGGTGCGGAAAATTTTGGTTCATCTCAGCTTTTAATGCAGGGTATATATTCTTCCTGTAGGATGAGATAAGGGACTGTTTAGTTGAATTTTGGTCATCAAGATTGTCAAATCTATCATGAAGATCCGCTACTTGGTCATCCTGTCTTAAATCAGGAGTTATACCTGCATGTCCAAACATTCTTGACAAATTCAGAGGGAAGAAAAAAAGTATATGAGAATTAATGAACCAATTTTAGCACCCCGTGTGAATTAATGCATCAACTAATTGATAATAATATAATTAGCAGCTAATTATAACGTAAAGCGTGTATATAACATGAAATCATTTAAGCAACATATTAAATAAATCATGGAGATCAAAGTTAAAAAAAGGTAAAAGTTAGATTTTGATAAAAAAAAAAAAAAAAAAAAAAAGAGGCAGTGAAATGGTGATGTTTCAATTATCTGCTCACAGTCACCATCAGGTAAAAGAAAGAAACTAATAATAAAGTTGTATGGAAGATAAAGACGACAGAAACAAAATGGTAATTCAATAAATTATTCATGAGACGCAGCTCGTATCAATAATTGACTTCTCTTTTGACTTGATATAGAGCTTTTTTTTTCTTGAATGGTTCTAGAATTATCTAAATAAAGTTGCAGAATTTAGAACAGCATATTTCCCAAATAAAATTAAGAAACAATAAAATAATTAACAACTTAATTAAGCCTATTAGACTGCTAAGGTCAGGAGGTTCAGAGAAAAGTGAGACTAATTCTGCTAAGCAATTCACATCCGGTGTGGGAGCTACACATATAAAAAAACTGCATGTATGGTCTCTGTCAAAGTCTCATGTAATCCATGACACTGTTCACTTTACATGGCATTTAGCTGTTTTTTTCAAGATAAATAAATAAAAGTATGTTATTTTTTTTTTTAACAAAAAGAAAAAAAAGTAAAGCACAAAAGCTGTCTGGGTTTTTAGAATATTTAAACAGGAATATTAACATTTTCTAAAAAAAGTTCCAGAAAAGAAAAAAATAAAAAATCTGAATTATAATCGGAAATATTATTTTTTTCTAAAAGAAAAAAAAGAAAAGAGAGAAAATTAATGCTAGTTTACCATTAGCGAGGTCAAGCAGGAAATCGGCAGGGTTCATGAAATTGAATCCGGGAGCATATCCAATTGATCCGAAATACTCAATCACCCGACCCCCACACCCGCTGTAAATCGGGCACCCGTCTGACAGCACCACCACCTTGTCAAACATCCTGTACAGCCTACTAGAAGGCTGGTGGATTGTGGTGACAACCGTCCTGCCTCCTCTCGCCAGTCCTTTCAAGGTGGCTACAATACGCTGAGCCGTGGTAGAGTCAAGCCCAGAAGTGGGCTCGTCTAGAAGCAGTAAACTCGGATTCACCAACATCTCCTGCCCGATACTAACCCGTTTACGTTCCCCACCCGACACGCCTCTCAGCAGAGCTCCACCCACCATGCTGTTTCTGCACCTGGTTAATCCCAGCTCCATTACAACCAATTCCACCTGCTCCACCTTCTCTTCCCGGGTCAGCTTATTGGGTAGCCTTAACAGAGCGGCATAAGTCAGGGTTTCTAGAACCGTCAAGTGGGCATACAATACATCGTCTTGCGTTACAAACCCTGTTCTGCGCTTCATGGTGCTAGAAAATGATTGGCCATTGTAGGTAATGGTGCCGGAGACCTTGCCCGGAAGCCGGCCGGCGAGAGCTGTTAGAAGGGTGGTTTTACCACTGCCGGATGGACCCAGCATTGCTAAAAGCTCCCCGGGTCGAACGACACCACTAACACCATTGAGTACCATTCGTCTCTGTTTCGATCCATGCGAACCAGAGCAACCTCCCTCGGAAGATTGCAGAACGATCCCATACGCTACATCTTCAAACTGCAAAACCCATATGAATTACAACATACAGAATGATTTCAAGCAAGCAGAAATGTAGAAAGGGTACCTTGAGGGTAACAGGGCGTAAAGATTCGCGTAGAACAGAAAATCTAAGTTGGGTAGTAATTGATTGTGCAGAATTACTGAGTGAAGGTTGATGAAGATCTTCGGGACAGGGACTAACGTTACATGAGGGTTCAGCGTGGATGGAGATATTCTCGGGCTGCCGGCTGGCGAGCATGATCATGTTAGACGGACTGGTGCATATGGGAGCACTAGTTTCTTGCTCAGGTGGCATCATCTGTACAAGGTGAGGGGAATTAAGATGAGGGGAGAAGGAACAGTAATGGAGGATTAGAGGAAGAGGGGAAGGAGAAGATCACATGCAAGAACAGATCATGTGAGTTATAAAGTGTGGAAGGCACGAGAAGTGGAGATGGTGGGTGTGTTGAATTTTTGGATGAATAAATATTCTCCTTTTTCTTCCATCGGCAAGCTGAGGACTGCAATACTGCAACAAACAAACCACTTACTCAACAAAAAATCAATACAAGTAATTCCCACCGGGTCTAGGGGAGATGTATTTATATATATATCTACTGTTATACAGTGCTGTGCCTTTCCCCCTCAACCATTTTTATTTTCTACATTTCAATTTTTCCTAACAATTT